CATAGGAGAGCCATCTCATTAGGGTATAAGGACACAGAGTCCACCATTTTCTCCAGGGGAACTGATCTCTGCCATCTGGAGAGCAGTTGTAATTCTGAGTGATCTCCAGCCCTCACCTGGAGATTGGCAACAATGGTTCCCCATGAGGAACAGTAGTGTTTCTCTGCAATGGGGACCAAAGCAGTTTACATCATTCTCCTCTCCCCCTTTTGACTTGCACAACAACCCTGTGAGGTAGGTTAGGCTGAAAGTCTGTGACTGGTCCAAAATTATCCAGTCAGCTGCCACAGCAAGAACCTGGGTCTACCAGACACTGCTCTGAAGCGCTGACTGCTACGCCTATGGTAGCCAACCTACAGGTGGAGCCTGAAGATCGCCAGGTATCAGAACTGAACTCCAGACAACAGATCTCTCCCCCCTGGAGAAAATAAGTGCTTTGGAGGGTGGCCTCTATGGCATTCTGTTCAGCTGAGGCCTCTCCCCTCCCCACACCCTGGTTTCCATAGACTCTACCATGAAATCTCCAAGAATTTCCCTGCCTGGAGCTGGCAACCCTATTTAAGACTGGCCCCAATGAGTTTTCTCCCAAATCCCAAAATAGGTGTGGAAAGGGCCTTTTACTGAAAGAACCAAGCTTGGTTGCCTAGCAACAGGCACTGAGGGGAAAGTAGGGTTGCCAGCTCTGAGTAGGAAAATACCTGGAGATTTCGGGGGCAGACCCTGTGGAGGACAGCATGGGGGGGGGCGGAAGGACTCAGCAGGGTATAAAGCCATAGGGTCTACCCTCCAAAGCAGCCATTTTCTCCAGGGGAACTGAGCTCTGTCGTCTGGTATCACCTGGTATCACGACTGAACTACAGACAACAGATCTCTCCCGCCCCCCGAAGAAAATAACTGCTTATTTAAAGGCAGGATGGGGTTCCCTGTGAGTTTGATGTGTGTAGTTTGCAGGGGGACCATTCTATACACTTTTGAACCTGCTCCTGACATTTCCCCCCAAAGCAGTTTCCTGGGGGCATCTTGGGGGGGGCATACCTTGGACCCCCTAAATCCAATCTGCACATAACTTGGAGGGATGTAGAGGAACATCAGAAGGAAGTCCCCTGTAAGTTTGATGTCTCTAGCTTGCACAGGGTTCATTCTATACACTCATGAACCTCCTGAGCCTTACACCTGTCATTTCCCCGGAAAGCACTTTCCTGGGGGTACTTTCTTTGGTGAGCTATAACTCAGACCTTGTAAATCCAATCCTCACCAAACTTGGAGGCAGGTAGAGGAGAGTCAGCTAGAGATCCCCTGTGAGTTTTCTGTCTCTAGCATGCCGGTGTGTGGGGGGGCGTTCTACCATGTCATGAACCAAACTGGGGCATTTGTCATCGAGAAGTTCATGACAGTTCGTGGCTCATGAACTGGCCATGCCACGAACCACAAACTGAAATGAACTATATTTTCCCAGTTTGGAGCTGTAGCAAGCTAACCTTTTTGAAGTTAGTCTGTTCACAGTAAGTTAAATGTACCTACATGAGTATGTCGTGTAAGATGTGCTGCTGTTTTTGTAAGTGAAATTTATTTGTCTTGTTACCACTGGAGTCAGATCATTTGTTTGAACAGGATTTTCCCCTTAACAAGAAATGTGAAGGATCGGAGATACTGCATACAGCTCCTGTGCTTCCAAGTCAAATGATTTTTTTTAATGTTTAAACCCAATAGGGAAAGTTGTTTTACAGCCAGTCCATTTGATTGATAACCGGTTTCCCTGTTTGTGTTTTTGGTGGAAGCGGGGTCAGGTTGCACTGCAGGGTTTTCAAGGCAGGAGACGGCGGCTGGCCATTGCCTGCCTCTGAATAGTGACCCTGGACTTCCTTGGTGGTCTGCCACCCAAGTACTCACCAGGGTCAACCCCACTTCGCTTCTGAGATCTGATGAGAGTCAGGACGGGGCAGGTTATTGTGAGTGATGGTTTAGTTAGGCTGAGAGGGACACAGGTCACAAGCCATGCTCCCTCTAAACTGTGGAGTCCTGTGAGCAAAAATTCTATTTTGTGAGCTACTGGCATTAAATTCGTGAGCGAGCCCTTTTGCCCTGGAGCCCCACCCTTCCTGAGCCAAGACAAAAATCTGTGCGCTGGAGGCTAAAAAACTGCGAGCTAGCTCACACTAACTCGGCTTAGAGGGAATACTGGTTCAGTGTGGTGCATATCACAACTGTTCAGAACTGAACTCAGTTCCACGGGCTGGGCGAGCAGAATCTAGGGAGCCAGTGAAGCAGCAGGACCAACAGCACACAGCCACATGTTCCCTGAACTGATCTGACCTTGGAGAATAGGTAGAATGAATGCAAAAAGGCTTGAGCTGCCGTGGGACATTAGAAAGGTGCTGCATCTCGACAGCAACCTGTCACTTTTATTTTGGCAAACTACACTGCAGCTGAGCAGTTCCTTTTTCTGAGGAGCTGACTTGGAGGCAGACGGGGGAAAGGGTTCTAGGAATAATCCTGAATACGAAGTAGGTTTTTAGACATTCTCCTTTAAGCAAATCCTATCTTGGGCTTCTCTGTGTGGGTTTTTCCTGTTAGTTCTGGGCCCATACTGCTTTGGTTTGCCCTCTGATTTCCTCATGTATTTTGTGCCTTTAGGTTTCCGGCTTGTTTTCATTGTTTGTTTGTTTGTTTTTCCCACTCTCCCCCCCCCTCTTTTGAGACTACTTTTACTTTGATCTTTTTCAGGAAGCCAATGTTGAGTTGTCTTTTCTGTTTCTGTTGGTTTTCTTTGTCCCGCCCATTCCCACTCACCCCCCAACCCACTTTATGTATAAATAACAAATGATAAAACACAAGGGCTGATAAATCTGACCTGACGCGTTTCGGCCTACATAGGCCTTCCTCAGAGGTCAATAGTGAGGGACATATTGGCTATTATAAATATAGTGCAATCGTATAAATAGAAGAAGAAGAGATTGGATTTATACCCCGCCCTTCACTACCCAAAGGTGTCTCAGAACGGCTTACAAACTCCTTTCCCTTCCCCTCCCCACAACAGACACCCTGTGAGGTAGGTGGGGCTGAGAGAACTCTTGACAGAAACGGCTCTTTTTCAAGAACAGCTCTTATCAGAACTATGGCTTGCCCAAGGTCATCCAGCCAGGTGCAAGTGGAGGAGTGGGGAATCAAACCCAGTTCTCCCAGATTAGAGTCTGTGCAACCTAACCACTACACCAAACTGGCTCTCTTGTAGGTCTTCATAGAACTGGTCCACTTCAGCTTCTTCTGCATTAGTGGTTGTGGCATAGACTTGCATTACTGTGATGTTTATGGTTTGCCTTGGATTCAGACGGAGATCATTATGTTGTTTTTGAGATTGTATCCCATTACTGCCGTTTGCATTCTCTTGTTGACTATAAAGGCCACACCCAGGGCTATTTTTGGGCAGGAACACACAGGAACAGAGTTCCGGCTGGCTTCAGAGTTGGCCACACCCACTATAGCCAAAACGTCTGCGTGCATGGCTACAAAGGGAAGGCTTGGAGAACGACCCCCCTGACGACTCTGAGGTGGGCGGGCCAGGGGGGGGACTTGAAGGATTGGGGAGGCATTTAAATGCCTCCCCGTGCTTCCCCCAGCCTATCCAAGGACCGGCCTGCCTGGGCTCCCTGCAGTCACGGGGCTCCCAGGCAAACCAAGGGAAGGCATGGTGGTGTGGCCTAATATGCTAATGAGCTGTGCTGTCATGGGTGTGGCCTAATATGCTAATGAGTTTCTACTATTGGGTGTGGCCTGTTATGCTAATGAGTTCCTGCTGGACTTTTTCTACAAAAAAGCCCTCGCTGCACCATTTTTTTTATGGGATTCTTGGCCACAGTAGTAGATATAATGGTCTTCTGAGTTATTCGCCCATTCCTATCCACTTTAATTCACTGATTCCCAGGATGTTGATGTTCAGTCTTGCCATCTCATTTTTGAGCATGTCAAGCTTACCTTGATCCATAGATCTTACATTCCAGGTTCCTATGCAGTATTGTTCTTTGCAGCATCGGACTTTCCTTTCACCATCAGACACATCCACAGCTGAGTGTCCTTTCTGTACCTAACTATAAATTAATATTATAAGATGTTGCTGGTCCACTAGATTTTAGAATGTCATAATTTATTTTATTGTTTTTATGGTATTTTAGAGTTATGTTTTTATGTTGGTCTGCAGTTGAAGAACTAGATTAAGGTCTAGTAGTGTCTAGTAGTAGATTAATGTCTAGTAGTGGCTCAAGTGGTTAAGATGCTGAATTACTTCGCGTGATCTGGATACAGCCCAAAATCTCATTAAGGAAATTGCAGTCATGCAGAATGGGGAGCTTTTGCAAAGCCTTGGGCAATGTGGTACTTTTTGCATCAGATGTGCAAGAAAGGTACTACTTCTAGCATTTCAAGGTTTGCACTAAAGTGTCAAAGGAGGAACATGGGATGCGCATGAGTGGGCATGACCCAAGACAAAGCCAGACAATAAAATATGTGAGCTAGCTCCGTGTGACATAAGCATACAGAGAAACCAGGGTCCAAATAGCTTGATTCGAGTTCAATAGCACCTTGGAGACCAACAAGAAGGGGGAACCTTTACCTTTACCTAGACACAGTATCTGACTAAGGGAGTTTTAACTCTCAAAAGTTTGAACCCTGGACATCTTGCTGGTCTCTAAGGTGCTTCTGGAATGAAATCTCTGTTTTTATATATTAGTTCACTGTCCACCTTGAGAGCTTTACCAGCCGACAGTGCAAGTTATATAAAGGGTTCAATAAATATTTTGTTACTATTATTGCTAAGTGTTGCTCTTTTCTGTATTTTGGGGTCTACTTTGTTTTCTCCATGATCAGTAAGGCAGGGGAAGGTCAATGGAAATTTGGTGGATAGGAGGTGAGAATGGTGAACTGCTGAAGCATTTATATCTGGGATATCCTAATGTAATGTGAAAATCGTTCTAATGGTTCCTTCTGTTTTTTCTTTTGTCTTCCAGGTGGAACGGGAAATAGCCATCCTGAAGTTGATAGAACACCCCCACGTTTTAAAGCTGCACGATGTTTATGAAAATAAAAAATATTTGTAGGTATTTATTCATTTGCACATGGAGAGGGAGGAAAGGGAAGTGGAATGTTGTTGGGGAAATGCATTGAATGTCCCTTAAAGTGGAAGTGTAGGTTAATGAACGGCTCTACACATCAGATATTCGAATAGGTAATGGTTTACTTTTTCATTTTTCCCCCCATCCATTTTTGTTGTTGCTTTCTGTTAAGGTTATTAACTATGCCTCTCTTTTAATGTGTCGGATTAAGTAGAGATACACAACTGGTATTTGTTTCCTAGTGTTCCTGACTGGGTTTGTTTGTTTTTAATTTCTGTGGCATTTCATCATAAAGAGTCCAACATCACACTCACCTTAAAGCACTCACCCATTCATGAAATTATTAGCATCACTAAGGCAGAACTAAACTTACTCACTGTGTGTTGGGAACATTTTTTGGCAATGTCTGCAAAGATATTTGATTGTTCATTTACATTGCCTTCTCTTGCTATATTTGTATCAATGATTGCAGAAATAGACGTCACTGGCTGTTTAGTGAAGAGAAGCGAAGAGATGGCATTATTGCATGCCATCTTATCTGTGTGCATTTGACAGACTGGGATCAGCCGCGTGACTAATCAGGGAAACAAGCGTTCACATTCAGTTGTAATTTGTAATTTAGTTGTAATTCAGTTGGAAGGATTTCGCATGGAAATAGTTCTACCCTCTCCCCACCAAACTGTAGCTCATAAATCAAAACATTCAGCGCAATCCTAAATTGTCCTTCTATTATGCTGGAGAGTTTGACAAAGGCATTTATTCAGGGCCATTGTGATTCAGACAGGGGCCACCCAAATTGAAGTGAAGTAAACGTTGTAGTTTGTAAAACTGTTTTGCTGCAATCCTAGCAGGTTTTCTTTGGAATAAGCCTTAATAAGGTTGCTGGCTCTGGGTTGGGGAAATTTCTGGATCGGCCCATGGAGGGCAGGGTTTGGGGAGGGAAAGGACCCGAGCAGGGTGTGCCATAGAGGTCACTCTCCAAAGCGGTGGCGCAGGCAGTAAATGAAGCCTGCATTCCATCTGACCGAACAGCTTTGGCTGTTCAAGTCCCACCACGGCCGGGGTGAGCTCCCGGTCTATATCCCAGCTCTCGCCCACCCAGCGGTTCGAAAGCCCGCATGGGCAAGTAGATGAATTGGTACCTGCTCTTAGAGCGGGGGGGGCACCCTTCCTTCCCGTGTGATGGCGGCGGGGCGGCGGAGCATAGTGGCAGCGAAACATGGTGGCAGCGGCAGTGGTTGAGTCAAGCGGCCCAAGTGGAGATTGGCCAGCGAAGCGCGGCGACGGGGCAACGCGGTAGGCCGAAGCCAATTGGGACAGAGGCCGGGTGCGGAGCGCGCGCTGTCGGGCGCTGTTGGCCTGTGCCTGGGAGGAGTCGTTGTGACCGGAAAAAGAAGATCTGCGCCAAAAAGACGTCGTCACCCAGATTGAAGAACCTCCGCAAAAAAAGAAATAACAACTAAGACCCTGCCATGGGTGCCTGATAGGTTGTCACTTCCCCCTCATTGTGTGTGGCCCTAGTAAAGGTAATGTAATTAGTAGTTGTATAAATGTAAACCACTCAGAGCCCTTAGGGGGTGAGCGGTCTTTAAATTGAATGTGGGGGGGGAAGCTGCTATTTTCTCCAGGGGAACTGATATCTTTCAGTCTGGAGGTCAGTTGTAATTCCAAGAGATCTCTGGGCACCACCTGGGTGTTGGCAACCCTACCCACTGAACATAGTTGGCTGCCTAAGTAGATGTGCATAAGAGTGCACTGTTAAGTCATTAAACTCATCTACCGTCTGAAATTCGAGCCTGTTTCTTTTATTAAAGAAGTAATTGAAAAACCAAACTCTGTCAAAATAGTCAAGTTTTTCATTAGGCTTACGAAACAAAAATCAATGTTTTGTTCTCCCTCTGCTGGTTTTGCAGGAATAATTAATTAATATAACTTATTCCCAGCGCACTGCCACCATCATTCACTGAGTCTGGAGTCCATGGATAGCATTTCTGCAGCTCTCAAGTTTTAGTGAGAAGCCAGAAAGGTCGAATTTGTTTCCAGGAAGACAAGTCATATTAATCTTAGCTCAACTGGGTCTTTTCAGAATTGGAAAGGGCAAACAGAAGGGAACCAAATGTTATTTTCAAGTTTCTAATATTACTGCATGCAAAGAAAAGTGGGTGTGTGCATGAGCATGTGAAATAAAACTTGCTGGAGATACCTTTTTAGCATCACATCTATATAAGGGTATAATTAATTGCTGAACAAAGGAAAGAGTTTGTTAAATGGGTGTAATAATCACATATTGACCATACAGCTGTAACATAGTTACATGAGTTCACAGAAGGATAGTTTAGGAAAAATGGTTGAAGTGTGTGTGTGCACATATGCGTGCATGCGGGCATTTGAATAATACTGGCTGCGGTCACACGGAGCATTAGCCACGCTACAGAGACGGAAGATAGGAGGATTTTCCGGGCGCGATCAAACCGCAACATCTGGGAAGCGTAGAGCTCCCATGGCAAAACCAAGGCTTCCCGCTGAAGATGTGCCATAAAAACTAGTACCTCCGAGGTACTAGTTTCCGGAAACCGCGGGGCAAGGGTGGGTGTCTGATCACGTTTCCGGTGGTAGCTCGTGGCATCTGGCGCCTATGTCCCATCGTGAAAAGGTTTTTTTCCCCAAGTCTCCACGAGATGCGCATAAGCACCCAACGGCGCATGCGCACACTTCAGCTAAAAAAACTCACAACCCTTGCCGCGCCGCTTCTTTGCCATGCTGCAGGATTTACGTATGATTGGCACCTCCCCCCGAACCACGGGACATCGGCGGGATGTTTGAACCAGTGGCCATGCGGTAGTTTGCTCCGGGGCAAACAGCCACGCCTCCCCCCGCGATATCCGGCCCGTGTGACCGGATGTGGCAGATTGTGGCTATGTTTGCCAGCGCCAAGTTGGGAAATTCCTGGAGATTTTAGGGGTGGAGACTGAAGATGGCGGGGTTTGGGGTATAATGCCATGGAGTCCAACTTCCAGAGTGGCCATTTTCTTCAGGTGAAGTGATCTTTGTCACCTGGTGATCAGTTGTAATAGTGGGAGGTCTTCAGCTACCACCTGGAAGTTGAATTCCAAAACCAACAGCCGTGACAAAAATAATGAAGAGTCAATAAAGATGAGTTGCAAAAACATTTACTGTAGTAATTCTGTAGAAATTTGTCTTCTATTATCACTCACACGCAACGAATACCCTGCAATGTAAACAATTTGTTTCACAATATTTGCTTTATCTGAGCATGTAGCGATCCCAGTTCTTACCACTAAAAGGAAGAAGGTACACATTCAATTATAAATGTAGCTTAAAGAATCATAATAAACCCGTACACTCAAAACTGACATTTACATTACTACTTATCAACTCTTGAAGGAAACATCAACATTCCTTCAAGATTGCTACATGCTCAGATAAAGCAAATATTGTGAAATGAATTGTTTACATTGCACAGTATCCGTTGCGTGTGAGCGATAATAGAAGAAAAAAATCTACAGAATTACTACAGTAAATGTTTTTGCAACTTATCGTTATTGACTCTTCGTTATTTTTGTCACGGATGTTGTTTTTGGAATTCCACTTCCTCCCGTGATCTCTCATTTTTGGCTTCTACCACCTGGAAGTTGGCAACCCTAACTGTGGCTAAAAGCAACCTTTAGTCCAGCTATAGAAATGTCTACTGATACATATGCAGGAAGAAGGGCTGGCCGAAATGGACTAACCGTGTTTTCAGAAAGGTCATGTCAGAGCCAGGAATTAAAGGTATATCTTGTCCTAACCCACTGACATGAAGAACAATGAAGCTGAAAGATTTGTATATGATTATTACTGAGCTAGTTTTAAATTATCTGACCATTTTGTTATGCTAAATAATGCTCAATTACAGACGTTTTCATACATTAAGTTATGAAAATGATCAGTAGTAGACTTTTCAATGTGAAATTCCTATTCTTTGCATGAACTGAAAGTGTAGGCTCTTGCGTATGAACAGATGTATCCTACCCTTTCTGTTAGGTCAGAAGAGTGCTGTTGTTGTTTTTCCTTGCAGCAGCCTTGTAAGAAAGTAGTTTGGAAATTGCAGGTTGCTGAAAGTTACTCGGGCTGTGGTCTCACACACACTAAATAATCCACTTTCAATCCACTTTCCAACTGGATTTTACTGTGTGAACTGGCATAATGACCCGCAGTTGCGCAATCACACAGTCCTTGGAAGCACATTTGGGATTGCCCCAAATGTGCAGGAAAATCGCTTTGCCCCCAAGTGCCCCCGATGTGCGGATTTAGATATCCGCACACGGGGGGCACCTTGACTATTAGATATATAGATAGATTGCCAGCTATGCAATTATTTTTTTCACCATTTGTATTGTTTTTCTGCGTATGTCCTTTCTGCTTATTATGAGCGATTGGGTTTTCTCATAGGAAAGAATTTTTATAATCAGAGATCAGGGGGGGTCCATATATTAAACTTTTATTTTTAAAAATGGGCATTGATCAGGCTGCAGACTGCTTTTCAAAAACATTAGCTCCGAACTGTGGATTTTGATTCACCACCGCTGGTATTTGAGCGGTTTCACACATGACTCCTTGAGTCTCCGTTAATTCATCTGTGAGATAGGGTTAATAAAATATACTTCAGAGAGATGCTAGGAACCTCGAATGAAGAATGGTCATTGTCAAAGTGTAAACAGCTCGCTTTTATGATTAATGATGATAATTTAAAGAAAATTATACAGATTTTGTGCTAAATATCATTGTTCATTATCACAATGAGCTGTTAAGATTGACATATAGAAAACCAATCAATCAATAGATAAATGGGGTTTGGATAATACTAACAAGTAAAGGAGCCTGCCGGTGGAAGGATGAAGAGGTTTTATGTAAATGTTATTTATAGCATGTATGGCTCAGGGTTGGGAGGTTCAGAATGTCAATGTTAATAGCAAAGCAC